CTTCTGATGATCATCTCATTCGCATTTGAGCACCGACAAGAAGCCGCCCAAGAATTTTGGGCTGACCCTGATGGGAATCTTTATGGCTTCCTTCAGTGGGCATCCAAGCGACAGACTGTCCCTCGGGTCAGCGCTTTTTGCGAAATGCTGTGTTCGATATCTGAAGGCGAAGAAAATGCAGCAGCGGCGCATCGATTCCTGTCGGAGGAAGACAAGTTTATGTCTACCAAGTTCAAGCGATCCACAACAATGAATTGGTCGCAAATGTTCGCTGAACTAAAGCTTTACGCATCTCGTGTCACTGAAAAGCCTTCCACTACCACAAGCCCACAAGGAGCGCCAGGGATCTTTCGTCCACGGAAACTAGAGCCCGTGGAAATGAACGAGCCTGAGAGCCCGGTGATGCTGACATGCTACCTTCGGCTGATAGGCCACCTGTGCAAGCAGAGTCGACCTATCCGAGAGTGGATGTTGCAAAATGAATCCTTCAATGTCGTTAGCACACTGTTAGACCTCTGCAGTGGGCCGATTCCATCGCATCTTCGGGCGACTACCTTTTCAACTCTCTCAGCATTGATGACTGACAAGTTCTCCACCGTTGGAAAGGAAACGTGGGCCCGTCTCGATGGGTGGTTATCGGGAGGAACCGGTGCGTCCGGCATTGGGAAAGTCCCTTTGGTTTCCAACCCTGCCGTCTGGCACCAGCAACAAGCCTTGCAAAAGATCGGAGAGAGCTTTGACCAGACAAATGCATTCGTTATTCTTATCGGTGCACTTATTGCTCCCTCGCCCGACTCAATTGACGACCCGATGTCACTGCCTTTCCCGGAGACCCTAGGTGGAACTTATCGCATGTCCGGGATTGAACCTTACATCGATTTTATCCTGGGACATGCCTTTTCACGGAAGATTCAAGATCTTAACGAGTATCAGTCCCGCCTGTTGACTTTCAACTGTCTGGACTTCGTTGTGGCAAGCTTGAAATCGTTCAATGAAGACCTAGTGTTACTTCTGAGTCAGCCGTCCGTGTCCGATTCGCCGACGCAGACTTCGTCGCTGCTCACGTACGTTCGCTCCCATCCTTTTGCTCGCGTGGTCGACTGGCTTTTCAACGAAGACGTACTCAAATCTCTGTTTGCAACCTCTAAACAAAACGTTTCGGACGTTGCTATCGCGTCGCCTGACTCTGTTCTGGTTGTGACCTTGCACCGGAGTCTGGAGGTTATGAACTTGCTCGTTGACTTGCAGTCAACATACTTTAACATTGTCAAGCCTTTGGTACAATCTCAGCCCGTACCATCCCGGACCATCGTGGCGAACTCCTCGCTCGCTTCATTTGAGGACACCGTGCTGAACAATCTGACACTCATCCCCTCACTCTGTCTCTATTGTGGCACGGCGCATGAGCAACTCACCGTCATTTCCATGGCTTTGCTGGAAAAGCTTACTAGTTCCAGAAAACTCAACAAGATGACTTCGCCTGAACTTGTCAAGTGGCAATCCTCGAACAAGATTGTGGAGGTTCTTGCATCTGAGGTCGACGTGGACAGCATATCCCGGCCTCTTGTGTTACAAATGGAACCTGACGTTAGAGAACTTGATTTCGGCCCGAATGCTGCCGGCTATGTCATTCGAGAAAGCCTTCTTGCTCTTTTGAACAGCTGCCTGGGAACGATCACAGACCGCCCAACGGTTGCCCATCTGCTGCTGGGCTTCGACTGCGTAGGCAATATTCTCGATGTGTCATCGGAAGGGCTATTCGCGACTCAAAGTTCCTTGCTGCATGCCATCGTCAATTTCCTGAAGGCTTATCCGGAGATCCTCGATGGTGGCATTGTATCTTGGGTGGTGCACCTCAAACGTATGGCTTTTGAAGTGCTGAAGCATTTGTGGTCATCGAAGCTGGCAAGCTACTACACCCTTGGCGAAATGCGTGCTCAGGCATTCCTGCGCGAGATGTTTGCCTACCAACCAATCATTGGCCCAAGCACTGCCTGGAATGGATTCCCTATTGATTCAGAGGAATTTTGGCTCACAGACGCTACCACTGCATTGGCAGAATTCCTGCTTTACCGAAGTCACCTCTTCACATATGCTGCAACCGAGGTTCGCTCGACAGCAAAAGCTAGATCACCGGCTTTACATGCCCAAATTCTTTCCGTGTTGCTCGGAAACACGGTTGCGGATGACGGTGAACCAATATCCAGTCCGTCTGTGTTTGACCTTTTCGATTTCGCAGATCTTGATGTTGGACGCGAGTTCAATATGCCCCAGTTCCACTTGCTCGGTGATGTTGCTCTTCAATTAGAAAGCAAGCGGGAGGAGGGCGTGTACAGCATGGAAGGGGTAGAGGAGATGATACAAATGCGGAAAGGAGAACTCACAGCCCATGGACCGCTCCGCCCGCACGATGAGGAGCAATTGCTAGTTGAGTCGAATGACCTGAAGTTGTTCACCCTTGCAACAAAGCAGAGCAACCTGATTCAAACCAATCGCTATCACGCCCTCCGTTCCTGGGTAGAGCTCGTTGCCACGATGATCACTTGCTCTGCTATGGATGAAGGAAGCAGGCCAGCTTTCATTCTACATTCAATCCAATTGATTCTCCCTAAGCTCACAACGGCAATCGAGGCGGATCTCCCCGAAGCGCTTGAACTGGCACGATTGGCTGAATTGTTGATCAGTAGACTCGCATCGGAGCCATCGGCAACAGATGTGTCTCGAAGCGGGGATGTCATCGACGAAAAGCTCCACCAGCTCTTCCAACTCTGCATCCGAGGTACCAACCTGGCAACAGGGAATGTTTTGTTGAGGGAAACGCTTTACAGCATTTGTTCCCACTACATAACACGCATCACATCCTCGAACAAAGGGCACGAAAACCTACGACGTCTTAGCCAACATGTCATCAAAGCGGCCGGTTCTGGCCTGATTGAGACCATGTGCGATGACGCCTATACTGGCCAAGAGTCGTGCCGTGCATCTGCCCTTGTGCTGTTGAACAGCTTAGCTGTTTTAGATCGCCAAACTGATTGTGTTTTGGCCGAGTTAATCTCGAGGTCCAACTATTTGAGCCTATTCCTGGATGCCTTGCGGTCTCTTCCCATCGAACTTCACAATGCTCAGGGAAGCGGTCAGTCATTTCCCCTTTGAGACAACCATGTTTTATGACTAATCAAAACTTCAGACACCCCGGCACTACTGGCATACTACGAGTCGCTTCTGTCATTACTTCAGCGGCTCTCTCAAACCAAGGGCGGAGCAAATTGTGTGCTGAACTCTGGCCTCTTCCAAGCCGTGCACGAATCACGACTTTTCGCTGCTGATCCAGACATCGGCATTGGTCAGTCAATCATATCCCGGCCCAATTGTACCTTGCTAACCCCCCCAGACATTGAAAATGCCGATGCGCTTCAGAGATACTACGACCTTCTCCTTTCAGTCCTTCAGGTCATCGTGTATGCGGTTTTCTCTCGAGGTATCCACAACGAACAACTTAAGGAGCAGACCCGTACATTTTTGGCTGAAAACCGGCCATGTATGGTGGGTATCTTCAAACGATCTGCCAAGATTGGAAATACATCAACTGCCCACCACGAGACTCTTTGTGAACTGGTCAAGACATTCATGGCTCTTGTTACTGCCACAGATTTCATGGAGGTGCGTTTTCTTTTCTTTTCTTGCAATTTATTGAAACGAATTAATGAGCGTGTGACTAACTGTGTGTAGTTCGAGGAGCAAGAAGTCCAACATATCGCCCGACCAGCGTTGTTCTCATGAGCCTTTGCCTACTGATGCTCCTGGAAATTGAGATGAAATGCATGTATCATTATGACCCGGTGGAGTGCAGGCGGTTTCTCAGTTGAGCGATTTTGGTTTGAATTCATTTGCTTCATATCTAATTCGTTATGTGTAAGACATCCGCCCACTTCAAGCTTTCAGGCCTTGTTATGGCTATCTTTTGTAGAAATGAGTAACGCTTGCTCCTGTCAAAGTAACCAAGTCAGCAATCAGATCCCTGGGTCGAGAGGCTATGTTTCCCTGATAGATACCTACTTCGTGCATACCCAGAAAGTGTACACCCAGAACTTCGCCATGGAGCTTTGAGCGCCAAGGTCACGTACGACAGACAGTGCTTTGTAAATGCGGATTTTCTTTCGCCTAGATATCTAGTCGTTGCCCTATGATCCATGAAACAACCTGATCTTCGAAGGGCCCTGTCTAGGTGACTGATCCGAGGGGATAAGTCTGGATCTTGGGTCGTACTGTACACGTGTACCCATCCATGGATGGATGATGAGATTACAGATCGAAGAGGAAGCCGGTATCTATACAAGTATAACGAAATTGCCACGACCATATTAATATCCTTGGTACATGCATTCGCCATTGCGTCTTTTCTGGTGTCTTTTCTGGTGTCTTTTCTGGTGTCTTTTCTGGTGTCTTTTCTGGTGTCTTTTCTGGTGTCTTTTTTGCTATCTTGTTAGACCTCTTTTTTGATGTCTTTTCATCCTTTAACTAGCACAGCAAAAAATAACACAAAGCACCCTTGGAAAGAAGAGTATGTTTTTCCAATTCGGTGCCATGCATATAACCTAGCCCTAACTCCCATCAATTTGATAGTCCCGAGTTAGCTGTACATGCATCATCCTGAAGTATATCAACTTGAATCACTGGGTATATACATGTAGTATATAGTACATATGTAGTAGTGATCCATGGATGCTCCTTCCCTGGTAAGGTGGTTTCCTTGCCCTAACTGGTTTCCATGGCCACCATCCACCATCGTTCCTTCCTGTATAGCTTCATGTTCTGTTTATCAAACCATCGTACCTACCTGTTGCCCTTGCCCGTTGCCATGGAATATCCAATTGTTATTTATTTTCCCCCAGTCCTCTTTTCCTTTTCTTCTTTCTCCTCTCCCATGCCACTGGTCATTTATCATTTGCACTGCTTTTGATTACCATTATCATTGCTCATTGCTTTCAAAGCTCTTCAAGATGCTCTCTTCTTCTTCTTTCGGTAAAAGGACTCGTCTTTCTCGCCTTGCCCTACTTTCTAAACACCGCCCTCCTCCTCTGAAGTCATGCCTCGCCGCTTCGGAGTTTGATCGAAACTCCACCCCATCTGGGGAGCCTTGCGTCCGGAAGACTGTACATTTCCCCGACGACAAGCTCTCCCTCGAGCGGGTCAAGATCATTCCGGCTCGGCCTGAGCGGAACCAAAAGACCATCTTCAAGAAAGGCCAGGTCGCGGAGACGAAGTCGTTCATCATGTACACTTCGAATCCCTCGGGCACCAACCAGCGGTTCCTTTCCAAGCTTCCTGGAAGCTCTGGACCTCGGTACGAAACCCATTCACAATGGATGAGCGTTGTACGTGCCCGTGGTCTCGCCGCTGCGTATTCCTCTGTGCCCCGTTCTCCGCGGTCTGCACCTTCCTCCGAAGGGCCAGCGCCCGAACCTGCCACCGATGGTTCGCGGCAAGAGTCTTCCTTTGATATGTCCTCACTGAAGGATGCCCTGCCTGAGCCTGCCTCCAGCAGTTCACCGCATGGGTCTGACTTCGACATGTCTTCGACGACTCGTGCGCTGCCTGACCCTGAGACGACCTTCGACGTCTCCTCTCTGGCCGATGCACTTCCGGACCCGAACGACAGCTTCGATATGAGCTCGCTGATGCGTGCTCTTCCCGACCTTGATGCTCCATCTGAGGTATCATCCCCTGCGCCTGCGCCCCAGTGCCTGGTTGCTCCCCCCTCTTGCGAAGCTCCCCATCCTCCAAAGGTTCGTCGACGTGTGGTCCAGACCCGCATCCGGGTTGGCCCGTTCTCTCCAGCCTGGTTCTTCAACCTTTCTGCAGTCTTCCTTGTGGTGGGGTCCTGCTTCCCATGCCTTGCACCAGCATTCTATGCTGTGCTTGTGTTCCTCTTTATCAATGGGATGTGCTTCTTTTGCGTTCGGTGTCCTCTGAGTCCTCCTCGACAGCTTTGGCTTCCTCTTTCCTCTTTTTCCTGTTTTGTTTTGTTTTGTTCTGCTGAGGCTTTTGCCGTTTGCTTTTGTGAAAACAAAACCCCCCCAAAAAAATTGCTTCATGTTGTTGGCGTTTCTGGTGTTTTCTGGTGTTTTCTTGTTTTGCATTTGGGGATCTGGTGAGTATCTGGTGAGTATCTGGTGAGTATCTGGTGAGTATCTTGGAGACATGGGGGCAACGTCTCTGTCTGTGATCGCGCGGAAGGCAGCAGGGACGTGTGGTGGATTAGGATGGCGACGAGTGTAAGTCATTACCAAGCATCTAATCGTTCCAAGAGCTAAGGCGACGATCAATTTCAGGTGGCTGATGGGTGTCGCCGCCGCAAACCGCACCGATTGAACGTCTCTGTCTGTGAGCACGCGGAGGGCAGCAGAGCGTGTGGTGACTCGCTTCCCCCACAACTCAATCCGTTTAGAAACAGCATGGTTGAACCGCAAGGTCTTCCTGTTTCGTGTGCTGACATCTTGTAGATCGGTCAAATGTCTCTGTCTGTGAACATGCGGAAGGCAACAGGACATGTGCGTGGTTGCTTTATCCTTTTCTCCTTCAAGGTAAATATGACTCCACTCCTTTCTCTTTGACCGCACACTAACCCCTGTCTTCCGGGGGAGGGTCGGGGGAACGTCTCTGTCTGTGATCTTGCGGAAGGCAGCAGACCGTGTGGTGGCTTCATCTTTCGTCTTTCAAGGTAAATACGATTCCAACCCTTTCTGCCTCTTTTTCATCCCATGCTGATTCCGCATCTTCTAGGGCAGGATGTTGGCGAACGTCACTGTCTGTGAACGTGCGGAAGGCAGCAGGACGTGTGGTAGCTCGCCTTTTGGCGAAGGGAGTACGTTCATGTCTTTACCCATGGATTTCTGTGACTGCGCTAACTGACTAGTCAGTGCCCGGTGGTATCCTCCTACGTTTTTTCTTCTTCTTTTTCTCTTTTCTTTTTTCATAATATGTTCTCGCAGAGCGAGGGGTATGGAGAAGAAAGGATGAAGTTGAGTACATTCAAGTGGTCTGTGCGTGTATCAAGTGTATCATGTACGGTCACTCGGAGTCGCAATGGGCTTTCCAACGCAAACGAAGCCACGGCTGTTCTGACTTAAAATACAAAGATCTTGAGAAGTATTTATAGTCTCAGTGTATTGACTATCATGTTTTAAAAAGAAGTACCTAAGGTTACTACAAGGCATGGCCAAGAAAAGCTCAATTCAACCAACCACGTGCTCTCCGAACTGAATGCAACTTGCAAGGCATAAGCTCATTCCAGTGTCGGCAGTCTCCTCAAACAGCGTCCCAACATTCCTATGTGCGGTATATCACTGTATCAACCATATCCGGCGGCGCAGCAAGGGGGCTTTGCAGACGGTTACCGACGAGACTAGTGACAATGTCAATAATTGGCGACCACCGGAAAGCAAAAGCAACCTTGTCATTGCTCGTGCACGAGCGGTCGTCCAGACTATCGAGGATGTCTGTGCGCGAACCATAATGGTCCGGTCCCACCAAGCCCCATGGTCACTGTCGGTGCTGGGCAATCAGCTGAGGTGACGGGCTGCATTACCTCAAGGATTTCGGTGCCTGTCACAAATCACGAACGGAGCAGAAACTCACTTGTCGAGGGTATGGTTGAAGCCTCTCGCGTTGCGGTTGTCGCGTCTGTATTCATTGCGATACACGCACTGGCCGTCCTAGCGATGGCAATGATGATGCATGGTCGAAGCGAGATGAGCAGGACTGGATGATCCTTGTGGGCGCTTGGCCTGCTCCTCTTAGAGTACTGCCAGGTCCACCACTCTGTAAGAGTGGGTATTGTGCTGCAATTGTTGTCTCAGAATTTGTCGCTTGGTCGCCGCCACAGCAGCCTCTGCCATAGACAGGGCAATTGGAGCTGATTGTCAATGTTCCCGTTTCCTTCAAGGATAAGTTCCAAGCACAAGTCACTAGAGCTACTAGAGACGTGAGCCTAAACAACAACTGCAGAAAATAGACTGATTCGGCCGCAAAGCCTGTATGAAAATGCAATGGGAAATTAAACTCAAATTATATACTATCCTGGTGTGATCGCAAGTAGGAAACAAGGGGATTTGCTTTTTAATTTTATTTTCGATGGCGTGACAGCCTTTTCCAACAGTCCATATGTGATATAAGTGCCGAGCAGGTGCCCGGAGGTACGATGTAGAGTTATATGGTAAAGATATGTCCATAATATATGATCGTCACTTAGGGCTAATTGTCGCAAAGCCCGATCTCGAGACCCGAAATCTGCCATGTGGTGTTGGGTTTATCTTTTGCGATCGACATTGGTCTACTAGCGATTTTACATATATTTGACTCATTTGCTATTGTCGGGATGAAAGCCGGATATTCTGATATTAATATCACTTATTGTCTCATCTTCCTCTTTATAACATGCAGCCCTCGAGACTCGAAAGTCGAGGGTTGATGTACTCGGACCGCTCAACAAATCCATGAAACTACAGCTACAATAAAAGAAAAACAATGCAATGAATGGAAAGCAAGGCATATTATGAATGATATTCGAGACTACTCCTAAAGCAGACAAGTTGATCTGTCAACAAACTCGTGATGCAAGTAAGCTCCAGCATAACGCCGACCCATTGAAAAGATAAGAGAAGACAGCACAAACTCGCAAGACCAGTAACAAGATCAAGTAGATGTTTATGTATGTTGCAAGAAGGGGAATAGTCGTAAAGAGACAACCCGCGAAGCCCGGCCAAACTCTATACAAGTCGTGACGTGTAAATGCGCTGAAACAGATCCAGAGAGGTGTAAAGGTTGTGTGTGCATGAGGTGACGGGGAAAGGGTATGAGACGCCAGAAACCGGAATGGATACAAGGTTGAGTGCGAGATATGAGATAAGCAAACGCTCAACGGACCGAAGGATAGCAAAAAAGATGAAAAGATAAGATGTACTCATGGACAGGCGAAAAGAAAAGAAATGTGCCCACGGAGAATGACAAACTCAATCCGATGAATGTACTACGGTGGTGTCGGAGTTTGTCCGGGCTCCGCGTGGTCGCGAGGCTTATCGCGGGATCGCATGTACATGGCATCGGAGTATGCGTCGGTCGCCGGGGGATCAATCGCACGGGGAAGACTTCTGTGCTGTTGTTGTTGTTGTTGTTGGGTCACAACCTCCCGTGCGTAAAACTCTACGAGCATTGTCCCATACGACTCTAGTTCTTCGACGGTGATGGCGAGTCGGAAGTCATTCAGAAGGAGGAATTGTAGTTCCAAGTGGTTGAGCTCCACCAGTGGAAGTCCGCCAACCTGTGTTATCCAATCATAATTAGCCGTGATCGTGGAGTCAGTCATAAGGATCACATACCTTTGCATAACGTGAATTGGTGTAGAAAACATCAGAGAAGAACTTGCTCGCACAGGTCACAGCAGCGATGACCAGTCGATGGATATTAAAACTATCAACGACGAAGAAATGTGAAAGTGCCTCAGCATCTGACTGAGGTGAAAGGCCGGGCGAAATTGAAGTATTTGACCCATGCGAATCCTGCGCAGTAAAGCCTGTTGAAGGGGGTGGTGTCGCCATCAGAGAATCCCGCATGTGGGAGTCTTGGGAGTCTCCTGGAGACACTGTAGATGAGGATGATGATCCAGATCCCTCGACAGAGTCCCAACGTTGGTGCAGGTTGTCGAGCTGATCACGGTTGACCACCTCGGTCATGCGGTCGAAGTAGACCAGCAAGCTTAGAAAGACCTCGTAGGTCGTAGGACAATATTTGTGGATGCGAGTCAAATAACTCAAGATTGTGATAGTCGGGACATTCTTGCCGTGGAATGCGAGCACGCTGGTAGCCTGTGGGCTAAGGTTGGAAGTGCCCTCGGGCGGCGGGATATGGCGATGTACATGTTCGTGATGCACATCGTTTGTAGTCGTAATCTTGGCCAGAAGCCCAGCGACCATCTCGATGATCTCCGTGACCGGCATGGAGCTAATCTCATACTGCCGTTGGTGCGTCCCAGTTCCGGAAGTGTGTGAGCTCCGCGATCCCACCAAGTCCTCACTGGCGAGACTCTGGATATGCGATAAGCTTTGGACTCGAATGCGACTCGGTGAATTGGCTTCCGAGCCTGGCACAGATTGCATGGGCTGATGTGTAGGTTGCAGGCGCGGTGAATCCGGCGCCGAGTGATTAGAAGAGTACGGGTTGCTCCCGCTCTGGGTTGGTGGGGTACGTGCTGAGGAGTAGGAGTCCGGAGGAAAGGCATGGCTAGGATGAGACGTCATCGAGGGCGGGTGTGGGGTGAAGGTGGGAGTATCGGAAGAAGCTCGGGAAGCTCGAGAAGGTGTGCGCGAGTTGATGTAAGCCGGTACATCATTCGCATGCACAGGAAGCCGAGCAGAGCCTACGGACGGTGGGGCACGAGAGGTGGGGGTGGAGGAGGTACTCGAGTGAGTGTCCATTGGCTGGGCAAAAGAATAAACTGAATCCGAATCGATTGCACCTCCCAACATGTCGATATGATCCGACGGCACGTGGTTGACAACGATGGAGACCATATCAAGGCTATCGTGGTCCGTTTTTCTGCGGGAACACGGGTCAGCAAGGCGGTCGCAGCTCGGAGACTCTCTCGCCACTATGAACCGGACATGAGAGACTGCATAGGATAGAAATGAGATGCGCAATACAAGGGAAAGGGGAGGGAAAATAGAGGGAAAATAGAGGGGCTTGCATACACTTTTGATTACCGCGAGGGCTAGACCACAGGATCAGGGAAAAATCCCCGAGCTAAAAGAGGAGAGTTCGAGGATCAACGAATGCTGATCGAATCCATTGAAAATAAAAAGACGACAAGGAGAAGAGAATAGAGACAGAAGATCAAGATTAACAGGGGAAACGCGTAAGTAATAAGGGAGTTGAAGTTGGGGGGTTTGGGTCAAGGTGAGGTCAGTGAGGTCAGTGCCGGAGAGATATGAAACAGGATTCAATTAATTAGACAAGATTTGAACATTTGAACATTTGACTAAGAGCTTTGTATAATTCTTGTTTGGACTAAATAAGATATAAAAAGAAAAAAAGAAACATCTCTTCAAAGAGATTATCTGTCATTAACCTCGATATAACTAAAAGACGGTGTATATTGTTC